TCATCAGATATCACCAGCAAATCTGTCTAGAATCTTTTTTATGTGTGTTTCTGTTTAAAGACGACTTATTTAACAGATTGTTGAGTAGCACCATAACTCATGCTTGGATAAGCTGATCTAAAACATGTGTTCACCATGAGGCACCTCACAACCTTTTTTGCACTTAGAGCACTGGACAGCACTTCAGCACTATGCTTGGGGGCCATTTAAAATAACAAAATCAAACCTAACCAGTTTGACACAGTGGATAGAGAGTCAGACTGCTGACAGAAGGGTCCCAGGTTCGATTCCAGTCAAGGGCATGTATCTTGGTTGTGGACACATCCACAGTAGGGGGTGTGCAGGAGGCAGCTGATCGATGTTTCTTTCTCATTGATGTTTCTAACTCCCTCTCCCTCTTCCTCTCCCTTCCTCTCTATAAAAAAAAAAAATCAATAAAATATATTAAAAAAATAAAATAACAAAATCGCCAAAAAGCACAACAATGTGAAATATGTGGCATTAAATAGACTGTGAGGACACCTATTTATGTCCTCTCAGCTGGGAATGTGTGTTGAGCAACTCAGTTTTTTCACTGCTCTGCACATGTCCTCAGATGATGCCGAAAGTGCTGTCAAAAGTGTTCCAATCCATTCTGAGGACCAGTTACGATATCCACACAACTAGGTTTTGATGAAACTATTGCTTTTGTAGACAACTATGTGCTTTTATAAATGACTTGAGCAATTTTGTAGTTGAAGATAAATTTTAGCAAGTAGGGGAATTTGCACGTACAGAGTGCATGATTAATGAGGATTGACTATCCTATATAATAAAAGCCTAATATGCAAATTGTCCCATTCAACTGGAGTTCCATTGGGAGTTTCACTGCTCCACCAGTTGCTATGATGCGAACTGACTACCAGGGGGCAGACGCTCCAACCAATAGGTTAGCTTGCTGCAGGTGCTAGTGGAGGGACTGGAAAGTGAAGTGTGAGATGAGAGCCATCAGGAAGCTCCCAGGGTTGGGATTGGGATTGGGCAAGATGGCCTTGATCTGCCCTGATTGCCAGCCAGGTAAAGGGACCCCATCTGTACATGAATATCATACACCAGACTTCTAGTATAGAGAATAAAGTTTGGCAAGCCTTAGATATGGATCTATCAGAAAGCCTGATATATTTTTAGATTTTAACATATCAGAAGCCTGTTTTCCCACGGGGGGGGGGGGGGAAACCAGCAAGAGATGTGAAGTGTATTACAATAATTTTAATTTTGTATATCAAAGAGGACAGACATCACAAGTACCTCTTAGTCCTGCAGGGAACCTCAGAAGGCTACTCATCCATTCCCCTGCTTTTGTCGGGATTTTGTCCTGGCCATCAGAGATTGTCAGCATCACAGAGATCATGAAGAAGCTTGTCAACTATTCTTTCTTTAATCAAATAATTCTTAAAGTAGCATCACTTTTGGATAGGATTCCAGAGTCCGAATCTTGGAAGAAACTTGGCAAACACTTGCTATTTATTGAATGGGATCCCTCAGGGTCAACCTGCTACTTATACTGTCCTTATCATAGCCCTTCCTTCGTAATGTGCTCTCAGATAATTATTTCTAAAATTGTGATCCCTAACTTGGGGTTCCTAATGGTCCTTAAAGGTGTCTGAAGTATGTCATTGAGCTGTTTTAAAATGTATTTCCCAGAAATACATTTCATTAAGATGAGACCTCACAGTTTAAATAAATGGCAAGTTTTTCTTTTTATAAATTTGCCCAGAATCCTACAATGATAATTCTATGTGATACTATGTACTGCTGCTAATATCATCTATCACTCAGACATGTCTTTAACAAAAAAAACAGACCATTGCTCAAATGATTGTTCAATTGTTTCAGTTGTTTTCAACTAACTTTTCAAAATATATTTCAGAAAAATATGAGTTTTTTGGAAATGTTCTTTGATGGTTAAAGGATAGAAAAGCATTTATCTAAATGATTCTAATTACATGAGATTTCATTTAAATAGTTGTAATTTATATTATAATGATTTTTACAGTGCCACAATTTCCTTTGAGCAAAGCAGTCCAATCTTATTTAAAAGGGAAATAAGAGAAAAGCAATTGTGTTCATCTAGAAACTAAAAATTGCCCTAAGGATTCACTATCTTTGTCCATTCTTCCAACACAGCTCTGCTGATTCTCAGAGGGCCTCTAGCACAGGCAGGTTTCTGGAAATTCATCTTTCCTTTGTGGAACATTTTTTCTTTCTCTGAGAATTAGTCTGGACCCAACTAAAGCGACACAAAAGGGAGCAGAGATCTGCCAACTCCCAGGCACGTTGTTTCTGCTGAAATTCTTTTTCATGCATTTCTTCCATTCCAGCCATAGTGCCATCCTGAGCACAGCTGGTACCACACTTCTTGGTCAATGGCAAGGTTACAGCCTTGTTTTTTTGCTTTGAGAACAGGAATGCGGGGAGGAGGAAAGAGCAGCAGAATGAGACCTCAGGTTCAATGCTCCCACTTGATTCCCCGCACATATTTTAAAGGCTTTGAGGACCAGATTGTCATTGTTTTGGAAATATTTGTTTATATAAATAGAAAAATTCATGCTCGCTGAGAGACTTCACCGTTGTTAGTGCTAAGGCCCAGGCCCCCCAGCCACCCCCAAAGGCTCAGCTTCTCTCATCAGACCATTTATCACTGCCTCCCTTCATTCTATTTCTGCTCTTCAGACCTAGAATGGCCCTTCTATCTCTGCCTACTAAAGCTCCTTCTTCACATCATTCATGAAGTTCCGGAGCCACTTCCTTCTAAGCAGCCCTCTAGAACTCAGAAGGCCAGAATCTCATCCTTCCCAGTCCAAATACGGAACTCCAGACTTCCTCATCTACTGCTTCACTAAAACCCCCACTATTTAAATGTGAATAGTTAGAGACTTACATTATATAATGTTGCTAACTTAAGTGTTTGGTGTGTCTTCATATCAGTGATGTAACATCTTGCCATGTGAATAACGAATACTTAAATTCATCTTCATTTCATAGGCCAAATAGAAACTTGAAATTGCCCTGGAGTGAAAGCTATCACTTTATAATTTAATAAAACAGCCCTGAATAGACAAAGGGTTGGGCAGCTGCATTCACCAAGTTTCTGTGAATGAACCCTTACTCCCACACCCTGACTCTCGATGCACCCTTTAAGATGTTGGCTACACTTACAGAAATTCTGTGTAGTCTCAACGCCTCTTTTTGAATGCCTTTTGTTGACTGGCCCTCCTATACCCACCTCCAATCTGACATTACAAACACATAGTCTCTGACACTGCTCAAGCACACCCCTGGTTTCTATCTCTGTCTACTTTGCTTTGCATTAGAACCTGTCTTAATGGTAACAGTAGTGTCTGGAAGACAGTTTCTTGCTCTAATGTTAGAATACCTACCTACTCTTTTCTTGGTGGGATCACCAGGTTCCTTGAAAAAGGATTTGGAAAGTGTTAGTTTATAATGGACAGTCTGGAGTGGATAAACTCGTTAGGGTGGTTACTTGGACAGTCATTTCCTTGAGTAGGAAATCAAGACAAATTCCGTGGTGTGGGGAAGCATTTTGCATGCCAAGAGTTTCTCCAAGTTATTATATTTAGGCATACTAATCGAGTGCTTTTTGTTTTTTGGAATAAAAATATACCATTTTATCATATCAAAGCTCCTCCATATCATTCCATTGGCCAGTTACAACACCCATACAGTTTGATTTTGACAGAACTATTGCTTTTGTAAATGCTTTTGGTCAATGTAGTCAGTACTCATTGCAAATGTTACAGATGGGATACATGAGCGATATGCAGCATTTGAAAAAGTATTTCTACAAAGAAAAACAATGGAAAAGGAGAGGAAACAGAGCAGATATAGAAATGGGGACATCATTATCAGCAAAAAAACTGCAAGTAGTTGAAACAGGTTTGGCTCAGTGGATAGAGCCTCGGCCTGTGGACTGAATGGTCCCAGACTGAATTCTGGTCAAGGGTATGTACCTGGGTTTCGAGCACATCCCCAGTAGGGGGTGTGCAGGAGGCAGCTGTTTGATATTTCTCTTTCATTGATGTTTCTTTCTTTCTATCCCTCTCCCTTCCTCTCTGTAAAAAATCAATAAAATATATTTTAAAAAAAACTGCAAGTAGAAGAATGGTTAAAGAAGTTGAGAATGCAGACAACAGGATGGAGAAATAAAAATGATCCTCATTGTCTGACTGGCACAGTACTGATGGGCACTACAATACTGAATGTGCTGGTTTAGGCTAAGTTTCCACTGGGCTTGCAAATAAACACACAGTTTTCCCAGCCCACGAAATGTTATTAACAGACAAGGGCAAGTCATATAAGGAAGATAAGACAGAGGAAAAGAATCCAATGTCTTTTTCTGACTATGAACTTATAAAACCTTCATAAGAGTACATTAAAAACAAGTTATTGAAATAGAAGAATTTAAAAAAAGTATATGTCTCATATATTGTGTTTCTACAAAAAAAGTTTCACAAGATGTCCAAATGTGCAATGTATATTCAGTGCTTTTTAATTTTCGCTTGGCAAATAAGATAGAGGAAAGATTTTATTTGTATGCTTAATTAAGACTTGTACCTGATATGATTCATACCTTTCGGAAAAGACAAATGTCTTTATAAAAATGCAGTAAACACTCTCCTACATCAAGTGTCCTTGCATGAGATATACCGCTGTAGGAAGTTTAAACCTACTAGTACTCACAGATAGGATATGACAATAGGGAAAGACCTTTTTTTTTTTTCAGAGAGACTTTAACATAAATGTATACATCAGGGGCTGATCATCAGCCTGTATGGTAGATGAGTCTTTGGAATGTTTAACAGACATCTATCACGATTTAATTTGTGGCTTGGGTCACAAGTTCTCTTTCTGAGCATCTTTGCTTGACAGAATCCCAGCAGAACTCAAGTTCCTGGCGAGTTTAACAATCCTCTTCTGCCAGCGTGGTGATACATAAGGGTTTAGTGCTTGGATGTCAGAGTAAGTGTTGATGATACTCGGAAGATCTGGGGAAGCATGTTACTAAGTTGGTAAAACATTTCTTCAGAAATACTCTGTAAGAGGTTAAAAAAAAGTTTGTATTTGTTAAATAACTGATTTTTTAAACATTTAAAATATTTTAAATAATGAAACTAGTTCTAGACATGGAGTGCAGTATGTAAAAATTATCTTTCATGACTGGTTTAACTGCGCAGCTAAGGACTGAGGTGTTTTCCTCTCTCCATCCTCTGAGAACGTATGTTGTTCCTATCAAATAAGGTCTGATGACCAGAAAGAACCTAGATAACACTAGTGTAATCAATTATAAAAGTGCCACTGATTTGCCAAGGGCCACACAGAATACAGAACCACTCTCTGCTGATGCCCTTATCTATGAGCTCTTCAAAAACTGTATGACATATATGTGGGGAGAAAGGGTAAATGAGTTAAGTTTGGTTTTGGGGTTAAATAAAAAGATTCCCTGAATGGTAGATGCTAACATCACTGAAATAAACTAAGTGCCTTTATGGCATCCAAACACTTAAAAAAGAGGAGGCTGTTAGCATTTTGTTATGTTATACTGAGTTAGGGCAGTGTGCTCACTACATCTGGGAAAAATACTGTAACAGAGAGTAAACTGGGGTGAGATAGTAAGATAACACACCTGTGGAACCAGAAATTGCACTGTCCTAGAAATTCCTCCATCCCATGAAGCCATTTCCATCATGAAACCTAAAACAGAACAATAGACTTTGCTGAATTACGAGTTCTGCTTCAAGCCTACCCAGCTCTTTATAGAAATAAACTGAATTTTCATTGTGGGGCTTCATGTCTTGACTTTTTAGGTAATTATTTACTGTAAGAGAGGCTCAGCTACCGGGCAGATAAACATCTGTAACCTGAATTCGCCACGCCAGAGATGTTTAATGTCGCTTTGTCAACACACTCACTTATGATTTCTCAAGTACTATTCAGTCTCCATACAATAAAGGCAAAATAGGTTAGCAAAGGCTTAATATTTGGCTCTATTTTTTCAAAGAATAAAAGACAATAAAGAACAAGCTACAATTATAATCAGAGCAAAATATAAATAATATCAAAACATCTTGCATTTGAAGAGGGCTGAATATTTGTGTCTAGGAAAGGATAAGTAAAAACGTCTGCTATGAAATATTTGCTTGATAAACCATTTATTGAGGCACCCGATGATGAGTAATGTTTACATTTTTTTCTCCTGGGTTACTCTATTTTGAATATTTGGGAGAAAGAAATATAGGTTGTTGTTAAATATAAGATTATGCTCACCTTTGACACACTTAAACACAAGTTCTGCTCTTCTTAAGCACCATGGTATAGTCATTTCCTAGAAACAGAAACAAATCTTGTTTCTAAAGAACTCTTAAAAAATACATACTCAGATCTTAATTTATCTATATAATGTTGCTTATCCAGTTTGTGAACAAATTCAGGCAACTATTAGTTAATTTCAGCTGGACTTGTGTGTGTGTGTGTGTGTGTGTGTGTGTGTGTGTGTTTTAGGCACATGACTTCTTCCATTTGCTGTACTATATGTTCCGTGTTTCCCCGAAAATAAGACATTCTCCAAAAATAAGACCTAGCGCATGGAAAGATAAGACATCCCCTGAAAATAAGACCTAGCGCAACTTTGGGAGAAAAAATTAATATAAGACACTGTCTTATTTTCGGGGAAACAGGGCATTTATTGCATTAGAACTAAAACTAATAAAAATCTTGCTGACTGCCTCCCCTCTTCTCCCCCCCAAAAACAAAACAAAACAAAACCCAGAAAGGACTAGGATTTTGGGGGAATTTTCAGAACACAATTTAAAAACTGTTGTTTTATTGAACTAATATATCATAATTTATTTAAACAGCCCTTTATAGCTAGATTTCCATTTTTAAATAATATTACAGTGAATGTATTTAGGCATACATGTGAATATATATATATATATATATATATATATATATATATATATACTTTTTTTTTTTTTAAACTTATTGATTGATTTGAGAGAGAGGGAGGAAGAGGGAGACAGAGAGACTTATTGTTCCACTTATTCATATACTAGAGACCCAATGCACAAATTCATGAGGATGGGGTCCCTCAGCCTGGCCTGCAGGATATGGCTAAAACCGTCTCTCTAACATCCCCTAAGGGGTCCCGGACTGCTAGAGGTCGCAGGCCAGGCTGAGGGACCCCACCGGTACATGTCTGGGGCTGGGGAGGGACGCAGGAGGTTGGCAGCTGTGGAGGGACCACCGGAGGGCTCCAGGGTGTGTTCGGCCTATCTCAATCAGCCTGACCCCACCAGCAAGCTAACCTGCTGGTAGGAACATCTTTCCCCATCAGTGCACATCATAGTGAGCGGTTGAGTGGCCTTAGCTATCATTAGCATATTACATTTTGATTGGTTGAATGGCCAACCAGACGACCAGACACTTAGCATATTAGGCTTTTATTATATAGGACTAGTGTACTGGTGCATGAAATTCATGCATGGGGGGGGGGATTGTCCCTCAGCTCGGCCTGCACCCTCTCCAATATGGGACCCCTCAATGGATGTCAGACTGCCTAAACCAGCAGTTGGACATCTTTCTTGCAATCCTGGACCACTAGCTCCTAACTGCTCACCTGCCTGCCTGCCTGATCGTCCCTAACCACTCTGTCTGCCGGCCTGCTTGCCCCCAACTGTCCCTCCCCCCGCTGGCCTGATCACCCCCAACTGCTCTCTCCTCCTGGCCTGATCACCCCTAATGGCCTCTGCCTTGGCCCCGCCACCATGGCTTTGTCCAGAAGGACATCTGGAAGGTCTCCTGGTCTAATTAACATATTATTCTTTTATTAGTATAGATTCATTGGTTGATTCTTGTATATGCCCTGACCAGGGATCAAACCCAAAACCTTAGTGTATTGAGACTATGTTCTAATCAACTGAGCTGCCTGGCTAAGGCTCTATATCTTGTTTTTGAATAATTTATTGGTATACTTATAAAATTTAAGTCCTTTCCCTAAAAGTTAGATCAATTTACATTAGCCATTAGCAATGTATGCACCATCCAATTTCATCATATGTTCACTAGCACCTGGATATTTAAATGTTACTTAAAATATTATTTGACATTATTACTAATTTAATAGATCCAAAATGGCATTACTCTGATAGGTTTTTAAAATGAGACTTTATTTTTTGAAAGTTTTAGGTTTACAAAATATGAAAATGGTACAGAGAATTTCCCTATCCTCTCACACCCAGTTTCCCCTACTATTAACTCTCACTCTCATTTCTATTAACTAATATATTACTAAGAGTGAGTCAGTTTAGTTACCTATCAAGAATAAAGAGAACAGATTATACCAAAAAAACTGCAGGGAAATTCTTTAGCAATTCTAATACACACTTTAATAGCTAATAATTCAATTTTGAAAATGTATTTTAATAAACACTGCCTTTATAATTCAAAATATGTGTATATATATTTTTGGGACACTATACATACATATATATGGGTTACTACAACTGAATTCTTTTCTACACTGTGAAGTAATCCTATTTAATAAAAGGGTAATATGCAAATTAACCATCACTCCATGACAAAGATGGCAGCACCCATAGCACCGAGGCCACGAAGGATGGGCTGTGGACACAAGGCAGGGCTGCTGGGCTGGGGGCGTGCTCCGAGCCGCTGCCATGTGGCTTGGGGCATGTCCCCAGCCCAGTGGACACAACGTGGGGCTGCCAGTGGCCACCATGCAGCTTGGGGCACACCCCCAGCCCAGCGGACAAAAGCCCACCAAATAGAACATGGGGCTGCTGGGCTGGGGTGTTCCCCAGGCAGCTGCTGCTGCATGGCTCAGGCACACCCATAGCCCAGCGGCCAGAAGCCCAACAGACAGAACACGGGGCTGCTGGGCTCCATGGGGCTTGGGGCACACTCCAATCCCAGCGGACTCAACGCAGGGGGTCCTCTGTGCATGAGCTGCAGAGGAAACACCTTTTCTGACTGCTCACTGGCTAAGCTCACTATGAGCTGCCACTCTCAGTGCTCTTGGTAACTTGGGTAATAAGAATCCAAGAAGGTGATCTAGGTTTTTCCACCACATTCCTGGAGGAAAAAACGAAGATCCGCTGCTGGAGGGCTAAGAAATGTCATATCCTGCCCTAGCCAGTTTGGCTCAGTCGATAGAGCCTTGGCCTGCCGATCTCAGGGTCTGGATTTGATTCTGATCAAGGGAATATACACAGGTTGCAGGCTCCTCCCTGGCCCGGGCCCAAGTCAGGGCTCTTGCAGGAGACAACCAATCAAAATGTGTCTCTCACCGTCTTTCCCTCTCTCTTCCAAGCTCTCTAAAAATCAATGGAAACTCAGGTGAGGAAAAAAAAAAGAAAGAAATGTCATATCCTATGAAAGACACATCTTGAAAAAGATTGCCATTTTTTCATGGTGAGGAGACTGGGATCTGTATTGATAAAAACACCTTGGCAGCTGCCACAGTGGCAGCAGTGGGATGATGGGGTTGGTGCACAGCAGAGGGAAGCCAGATTGCAGCTTAGTAGGACATCCCCTGAGGGCTCCCATTCTGTGAGAGGGGGCAGGCTGGGCTGAGGTACAAACCTCCCCAGTGCATGAATTTCATGTACCAGGCCTCTAGTAGTTTATGAAATTACAGAAATTCTGGTCATGATATTAGTGAAATGATCAACATATACACACACAAATAGAAGACCTCATTTTAACAACTGACATTAAAAAAAAAAAGAACCTATAACTTAATTTAGGAAATGTTTTCCAACAAATACAGACTGTCTCCCTATCATTTCAGGAGCCAGATGAATGGGAAGCCATAGAAAGAAGCAGCCGTAGAATTTGATCTTGCAGTTGCCCCTTTACTGAATATAATAATAATATTGTCATATTGTCATGACCTCACTAAAGGCTTTCTAGTCGCTGCCAATAAAAATAAAATCCCAAATACATTTTTTATTCTTTGTACTGAGTGCATTGTCTGTTTTCTTTGTAAAAGCAGTGGTACAATAAAGAAATCATTCTATAACATCTCCCCTCCAAACACTACTGCTACATTACTATATTATACATTAATTACTATTAACTAAAATCCATAGTTTATGCAGATTTCCTTCCTTTTTACCTAATGACTTTTCTGTTCCAGGATCACATCCAGGAAACTATACTGGGTCATTATGTCACCTTAGGCTTCCCCTGCCTGTGAGTTTCGCACTTTCCTTGTTTTTGATGAGCTTTGAGGAAAACTGGTCAAAGATTTTGTAGGATGCTTTATCTTGGAATTTGTCTGGTGGTTTTGTGATTATTAGACTTGAGCTATGGCTTTTGGTAAGAAGTGCTAAAGTGTCATTTTCATCGCAATACAAGGGTACATACTGTCAACATGATTTATGACTGTTGATATTGACCGTGATCACCTGGTGCAAGCAGTGTTTTTTGTGTTTCTCCATTGTAAATTTATCCCTTCCCTGAACTTTCCACACTGGACTCTTTGGAAAGAAATTTTCCACTGTATGCAACACACACTTAAAAGGTGAAGGTATTTTTGGGTGCCTCCTTAAGGATGGAGTATGTACATAAATTGTTTGAACTTCTGCATGGGAGATTTATTTGCTCTTCTCCCCTTCCCTCCTCCACCCCTTTCCTTTTTCCTTTCCCACGCTCTTTTTTATTTTTTAAAACCAATCATGTTTAATCTGTATGGATTCATGGATCTTTAGATGTTGAGCTGTAATTCAATTATTACCAAAACTTTTCTCAATCTTATTCTGATTGACCTTTCTGGCATAATTCCCATTAATGGCCACTGCCTTTTTTCATGAAACTTGCCAACCCCTCATGGGGGCTGATGTGTCCCTCAATTATCCTAGTTCTTGACCAAACTCTCAAGGTCTTTGGACCTCATACCTACTTACTGCTATGACTCCCTATCTGGTTTCCTGGACTCCAACACCACTTCAAAACACTAGTTTGGCTAAGTACATTTGTGATCACATTAATTCCTATTTAATAACTTAGAATTGCCTCCTATTGTCTCATGAATAATATCTAAGACTTTATTTTAGTATTCAAGGCTATTTATATTAGGAGCAAAACTACTGCGACTTCTAGATTTTTAAATTTAAAAACGGGTTCACTCATGCACACCTGCCCACTTTTGCCTTGATATGATCTGTAATGCTGTCGCCCACCTCCTCACACTCTGCTGCAAGCCACTTCTTCCACCTAGAATGCTCTTCCTGTTATTTCCATCTGTTGAAATCTGATCTTCATTCTCCAATGTCCATCTTAACTTCCTACTCCTTCATAAAGTAT